ACGGGTAAGAAATACAGTACAATAGAATAAATACAGTTTAAATGACAAATATTTGCCAGACTTGCTAACTCCCAGTCAGTGAAAACCAGAAAACAGCTGCAGTGACTTGGAAAGCAGACTGTCCATATTTATGAAAGTGGGGAAGGAGGCTTTGGTCCAGTTACGATTGATCTGTTTTACTGTAATGGCTGTTGTCACCAAAACATCCCAGAAGCTACGAGACACTAAACTCTGATTAGTTGATTAGTCGTAAACTTAATCCATTTTCCTCTATGTGCAGTCACTTTGTTATGTTTTAAATCTGTCCTGCTCCCAGTTTATAGTGTTAAAAAAGATGTTGACCAAAACAGGAAAATACAAATTATGTATCACTGTCTGGTGCTCAGCAACCCTGAACTACAAAGTGATGTTATGTTCATGCCTGTACATGCCCATTACCCCATGATATAAATACACAAATTCTATAACTGTTGATCACCCTCAGCAAGAAGCGTCTAATAACCCATTTGTCACTGCTGGAACCAGTGACCTGTTTCAGTCCAAAAGTTCATCTGAGGTTCAGCTGGAGGAAGCAGTTCTACATTAAATTTCTCAGTTATGAGTGTCTGGCTGCAATGATCCTTACTCCAGGAGTAGTCAATGTGTTATGGTTGAGTCCCCCTCACCAGGAGGGTGAGGGAGAACTGAGGTAGGACTCAATGCGCAGACCCAGCTGCTACTGAAAAAAGGTGATTTATTAAGGAACACAGACAAACTGAGTCAACCTGTAGTACAATAACCGGGGTAGGACAGGGATGACTGAGGAGTCTAGGATGAGCAGATGAGTAGGAGGATTGCAGATATCAGGAGAGTAGAGGACCAGGACAAGGCAGACAAGTAGCTACACAGAGAAGGGTGTTATGGGTAACTGTAGGTTGTAGAGGCTGCAGTTCAGCATCACTGCTAAACTGATAGTGAAGTCGGTAACCTGTCTGCCATAAACACTAATTCCCATAAGAATTAATATGGGAGCAGGCACAGCGGTCACTGTCTGCAGATGCACACAGTAAAGAAAAGTCAGACAAAAAAGCAACTTAATAAAACATGAAAAAGACAATGAACTGTTCTTTTGTTTTCATGTTTGCAGTTTAAATCAAATGATTGATTGGATGCTACATGGACCCCAGATAAACAACATATATTAATTCCAGGTCTGAATGTGGTAATAAAAGGTCACAATAGATATGTGTGTACTTTTATAAAGCATGAATCTTTTATATAAATTACCCAGTTGTTCAGAGTCAGTGACCTGATGCTCTGTGATATAATGTCACAACTTCGACACAGTAACACCTAAATTTCTACTTTCTGTCATTGCTCACAATATTCTAGGTCTTGTGGAATGTGGGAGACCTCCACCTCTTGCAGATGCAGACATACAGGGATCTTTAAAATCCAAGTACAGTCATAATGAAAAGGTCGTATATACCTGTCAGCAGTACTACGTCATGGAGGGCAGGCCTCACAGAACCTGCAGCAATGGCAAATGGACTGGAGACTTGAGATGCCTGAGTAAGTTCCAGTCTCCTTTATGTTTTTCATATTTCATTCTGTGATGATGTTACTTAGGTAAATGTCATTTTGGTTGTCGGTTATCGAATGTACTATAGAAGACGTGATCACCAACAGACTGTTTCCATGAAGTAGGATTTGTACAGATCTCTTACAAATTCATTTCATATTACATTACAAACGTGGTCAAGCACTAAAGAATAAGGAAAACAACTATTTTATTCCATTTTAATTCTAAAATGATATACTTACATACTTAAATAGTATGGAATTCAATACTTGCTCAGAGAGAAACAGTATTTCAATTTTCTGTATGTCCTGCACATATAGTGGATTGACAATAAAAATCTTTGATCTCGATCCTGAAAAGTGGTGAAGCACTAAAGAATAAGCAGAACCAGAAGGCTGTAAGGTGAAATTAGTGTTGACAAGAATCATACGTTTCAGCATCTCTTTTACCTTTCAGAGGTTACTGTGTCATAGAAATGTGTCATTTACCTGCAAAAGACTGTGAAACCATCACAGAGAGACAGACAGCTGGTCAGCTATAGGCTATCAGGTGAAAACTACCTGTGGAAATGGTCACAGCTAGCCTTAGCTCTTTGTAACAATATTATATAATAGCAGTAATTATATATGGAGTATGATGTCTGGTCATTTCTGACATTATTAAAGTGCTGTTTATCTGTTGTCTCTTGCAGAACCCTGCACTGTGACTGATGAAGCCATGAGACAACGTAATATTGCATTCAGATATACTTATGAAAAAAAGCTGTATGCATCCCATAATGATGAAATCGAGTTCATGTGTACCGGACGAACAACCCATGTTGGCACAGTAACAATGCATCCGACCTGTATTGACGGTGAGATCCAGCTGCCCACTTGCCACTAAAGGGATTTAATCAGTTGGACGTGATGAACGTTGTTGATCTGACTGGACAAACATGTAACTGATCAACCAGAAGAAGAGTCATGTATCGACCCAGTGTCTGCTCTTCAGTGCTGTGTGTGGTCGTTTTAATAAATCATATAAGCTCAGTCTGTTTCCAGCCGCAGTGTTTTATGAGAATGGTAAATGGTTTTGTATAGCTCTTTTTTTACACACTAATGCACATTCAAAGCACTTTACAGTTTCCCATTCACCCATACACACAGACACACACACTCGCACTGACACACCGGTGATATCATCGGGAGAAACTCGGTATTCAGTGTCTTGCTCAAGGACACTTGGACAAATGAACCAGAGAAGCCAGGGATCAAACTGCCAACCTTACTGTTAGGGGACAGCCAGCTCTTCCTCATGTTCCTGGGTGGAAGTCTGTTTAGGAAAGTAAGCTTTGATTATTTTTATCAACCCTAAAATGAATCAGTGGTGAGTTGGTTGATTATAAATGTCATATATTGTTAACGTCATTGTCATCATTTCTGGATTTTCCCTATAAACCAGTGGTAAACAACATGTGCACCCACCATTTATACAAAGAAAATGTACAAAACCTGAAAATATACTATCAGGAAAGTGTCTTTTTTACATTGTGTGGATGATTTTTTTTTTTTTTAATGTGATAACTTTTTAACCTGCCCTTTCAAATTTAAAGGGCTTTCTCAGGGTG